GCCATAGGCGAAATTGACTAAATAAATACCACCCAGATTGGAATTCTTTTTCACATTTGGTGGCTGTTGGCAGCTGCTGGTGTTGGGGTGAGGTTTCTAAATAGAAAAGTTGAATGGCTCAAATGGATTGAGCTGGATGAGCTTCTCTCAGTATTGTCACTAATGGTTTGTGAATACATTTCCCACCAAATCTTCTTACGTGTTTTCTGACATATAATCACCATGCTTGTGCTGCAATGTGGTTACCATTATTGCTGGACTATGGCAAAAAAACACATGAATCAAAAAATTCATTGAAATTTAAGGTAATGTGTTTTTTTGTTTGGTTACTTTGTTTTGGTTTGCATCGAAAACAATCACCTTTCAGCACCTAAATGTCCTTGTTCCTGGTCTTTGCTTTCAGCCTGCAGGTAACAGCATGCTGTATCTCTATCCCAGTGTTTAGGGGCATGAGAAGGGTGGCTGCAGCCTGAGAATCATCATTCCTGACTCACTGTAATCTTTCCAGTTTGAAGAGGAATTTTTTGGAAAGCAGAGAGCAGTATGAAAAGTTACTGCAAGGTAGGATGTTTGACATCATTGAATGACTTCCAGATTTAGTTGCCTTGTCTTTTCCCTCTACAGTCTTTTCAGCCAAAGGGACTATTAGCTCAAAATGATCAAAGGACTGTGCTTAGGCACAGACAATCAGCCTTCTTTCTTTCCCTTCTATAAATACAATCTGCTTTTTTATGGCAAAAATAAATTTGCCCCCGGCAGGTTTGCAAAAAGGCCACGTGCTTTTACTGGGGACCTGCTGGTGGCCATGGAGCTAATGCTCAGGTGCATTGGCGACTTCTCTGAGGTTCAAGAAGAGGAACTTGATATTTCAAAGGTGGCACTTAGGAGAGGGACATCAACTGCAGGTGCCTTGCTAGGGAACAGGGCAATCCTCAGTGGGCTACAGAGACTCTCAGCACCACACTCAGCCTTATCACAGGGGTCACAGAAAAGCTGGGACAGGAGCAGGTGATTCTGTTATATGCCTCATATTTTTGATGCATAGTTCCTGGAAACTGTGACATCTGGCCTGACTTAAACTGACCCCTTTAGAAATACAATTTGAAAAGTTATCTCTGTGGAAAATGTGGACTAGAGCTGGCTGATTGCTGAGAAGTGAGAAGCCAGAGCTAGGGTTTAGTCACAGAATCACAGAATGGTTGAGATGATTGGAAGGGACCTCTGGAGATCATCTAGTCCAACCCCCCCCTGCTCAAGCAGAGTCCTCCAGAGCGTATTTCCCAGGATCACATCCAGACAGGTTTTGAAAATCTCCAGTGAAGGAGACTCCACAACCTCTCTGGGCAACCTGTGCCACTGCTCCGTCACCCTCACAGCAAAGAAGTTTTTCCTCAGGTTCAGATGGAATTGCCTGTGCTTCGGTTTATGCTTCTCGTCCTATCGCTGGGCACCACGGAGAAGGGTCTAGCCCCATCCTCTTGACGCCCTCCCTTCCCATACTTATACACATTGATCAGATTCCCCTCTCAGCCTTCTCTTCTCCAGGCTGAACAGGCCCAGCTCTCTCAGCCTTTCCTCACAGGAGAGACGCTCCAGGCCCCTCATCATCTTTGGAGCCCTCTGCTGGACTCTCTCCAGGAGTGCCATGTCTCTCTGGTACTGGGGAGCCCAGAACTGGACACAGCACTCCAAATGAGGCCTCCCCAGGGCTGAGTAGAGAGGGAGTATCACCTCCCTCCACCTGCTGGCAACACTCTGCCTAATGCACCCCAGGAGACCATGGGCCTTCTTGGCCACAAGGGCACATGGCTGCCTCAGGCTTAACTTGTTGTCCACCAGCACTCCCAGCTCCTTCTCCGCAGAGCTGCTCTCCAGCAGGTCAGCCCCCACCCTGTCCTGGTGCCTGGGGTTTATTCCTCCCCAGGTGCAGGACCCTGCACTTGCCTTTGTTGAACTTCAGGAGGTTCCTCTCTGCCCAGCTCTCCAGCCTGTCAAGGTC